ATTAACAGCAATAGAGAAACAGATAACACCAGGCCAGGTGTGGTGGCTCGTGTCTATAATCTCAGCATTCTGGAGGCTGAGGCAGAAGGATCGCTTAAGGCCAGGAGTTCAAGACTGGCCTGGGCAACAAGGCGAGACCCTAATTCTAAAAAACAATTTTGATTTTTTTTTTTTTTTAGACAAAGTCTCACTCTATCACCTAGCCTGGAGTGCAGTGGTGTGATCTTGGCTCACTGCAACCTCCACCTCCCAGGTTCAAGAGTTTCTCCTGCCTTAGCTTCCTGTAGCTGGGATTACAGACACCAGTCACCATGGTCAGCTAATTTTTTCACGTGTTTTTAGCAGAGATGAGTTTCACCATGTTAGCCAGGCTGGTCTTGAACTCCTGACCTCAAGTGATTCGCCTACCTCGGCCTCCCAAAGTGCTGAAATTACAGGTTTGAGCCACCATGCTTGGCCTAAACACTTGTTTTTAATTAGCCAGGCATGGTGGCATACATCTGTAGTCCCAGCTACTCAGGAAGCTGAGCCCAGAAGTTCAAAGCTACAGTGATCACACCATTGTACTCCAGCCTGGGTGACAGAGTGAGATCCTTTATCACCAAAAAAAAAAAAAAAAAAAAAAAAAGAGAGAGAGAGAGATTAAGGAGGAGAAGACTCTAGACCAAAAGTAGTAACTCATATTATTGAAATTCTTTGATAGCAACTGTAATTTTTTGGATAACTATTTTCACATAAGCAGACCAAATGATTTATGTTCTCTAACCTCAAAAAAAGTTAAAGAATTCTACTATTACAAAAAGAACAGTTATTCTATAGTTACAAATAGACTAAACTTTCACCTGAATGTATCTCTTTGTTACAAAATCATTAAGGGTAGTAGAGGGAACTTCATGATTCATCAATGCTGCCTGATTTTTTAAACCCAGGAAATTCCTTTACACCCCCTCCTGGCTCTAGCCAGCAAGAACTGTAGGTGTACTACTCTAGTCATTCCTTTACTGGTGGCGTACTATGTTAACACTATGTACATGTAAACTAATTTTCGGTGGACTATTCCAAATTTTAAATTCAATTGCCCAGATCTGATTTTAAAACTAATTTATTAAACAGAATGCTGACATTCTCTCCATCCAAAATTTTGGTGGTGCAGCCACTATAGAAAGCAATATGACAGTTTCTCAAAAAATTTAAAATAGAATGACTATGTGATCCAGCAGTTTAACTTCTGGGTATATATGCAAAAGAACAGAAAGCAGAAACTGGAACATATATTTGTACACCAATGTTTATAGCAGCATGATTCATAATAGCCACAAGGTAGAAACAACCTAAATGTCCATGGAAGGTGAAAGAATAAACCAAATATGGTTTATCCATACAACAGACTACTATTTAGTCTTTAAAAGAAATAAAATCCTGACGCATGCTAACATGGATGAATCTTGTTTAGACCAGAATTAGCTAGAAAATAGAACCCTATACAGTCACATGAATCAAAATGTCTTGCTTCGTTTTCATCCCTAAGAAAGTAATTCCAGCTGGGCACAGTGGCTCATGCCTATAATCCCAGCACTTTGGGAGGCTGAGAAGGGCGAATCACCTGAGGGCGGGAGTTCAAGACCAGCCTGGTCAATGTGGTGAAATCTCATCTCTACTAAAAATACAAAAATTAGCCGGTTGTGGTGGCAGGTGCCTGTAGTCCCATCTACTCAGGAATCTGAGGCAGGAGAATCACATGAACCTGGGAGGCAGTGGTTGCAGCGAGCCGAGATCGTACCTGCTAAGTGAAGTAAGCCAGTCACAAAAAAGGACAAATACTCTATGATTCCACTCAGGTACCTATTAATAGAATAGTCAAATTCAGAGATAGAACATAGGATGGTGATTGTCAGAGGCTGAAGAGAGAGGGATACAAGGAGTTACTGTTTAATAAGTACAGTAATAAGTTTACAAGATGAAAAGCTTTCTGGAGATGAATGGTGGTGACAGTAGCACAGCTACTATAAATGTACTTAATGCCACTGAACTGTACACTTTAAAATGGCTAAAATGGTAAATTTTATAAGGATTGTACCACAATTATTTTTCTTCATTAACAGATTGGGGAGGATTTTTTAGAAGACAATTTGAAATAACATTTGCTTTCTAATAAATTTGCCCATCTATAATATTCCAAATCTATCCCGTTAGGTCTGTGCTGTAAACTTCTACCCACTACTTATCACCACTTCATTGATTTCAACAGAATTATTTTCTCTATTGACTTGAAATAAGTAAAAAAAAAAAAAAAAAAAAAAAAATCCTTCTCAAAGGTTTTTCCACATTTAGACATTGTATCTAGCAATGATCACAATGTGACATTTATTTTCAAATTCTAATCGAATTTGGAAATTATGTCTTTTCTACAAAGACAATACTGAGCTCTCACCTTATTTCTGAGCCTCATAATCATATGACATAAACATGTAACTTTACTACATTCACTTTTGGGTGAGGAAATTGATTTGCCCAGTTATAGAAGAAACCAGTGTCATCCAAGTATCCATAAGCCAAGTCTTAAGCTGCAATCCTTAAAATAAATTACCTGGTTTTCTTATAACTGAATAAATGCTTGCTTTTAAGTTAATCCTATAAAAACTTATATAATATTAAAAACAGGAAGAATAATCATTTTTTTCTAAGACCAACATTGGTAAGAGGACTCCAGGTTCCTAAACACACAAATGGCTGTGTTTAATGTGTAGTTCCCTAAATAATTTTTTCTTCTATCAATAACATTCTTTTACCTATTTGACAATATAAAATTAACACGATTAGGCAAACAATTATTCACTGCAGATGCCATTCTACTTTTTCCATTTGCAAACAACTGTGTATAGCATTACCATTAATCTGAAGAGAAAAACTTATTCCCATCTTATTAATGTGATCAAAATGAAAACTTTCATTTCCAAACCAAAATCCCTGATACTTGTCAGGAAAATCTTACTTTGCCTGAGTAGAAGAAGCCTAAATTTCCTTTTCTATAGCCAATATAAGGTTAACAGTTAAGCATAATAATTGTCACACACAAAAAAATAGAAAGCAGCTGCAAGTTATTAGAGATAAGAAGTTAGGTAAAATGAAAACAAAGCTATAACTACCTTATAAAGTTTTTAATGAGGGAAAACTATACTGTTTGTTGTCCAAAGCCTTCGCCATCAGAACACAATTTTGTAATATGATAAAACTACACCTAGGAATATATAGAGTCCTTTTTCACACAATGCAGTACACATTAGATAAGAGATTGAACTGGAGAACAAAATCAAAACAAAAAGACAACGATGAAAAACTTAGGGCTGGGTGTGGCACTTGTAATCCCAGCACTTTGGGAGGGTAAGGCAGGCAGAGATCACTTGAGCCCAGGTGTGCACGGCCAGGTGCATCTCTAAAAAAAATTAATTGAAAAATTTAAAAAAATTTAGGCAGGCAAAAAACCTCAGGCCAATCCTAAACCTACGAAACATCAAAATCTAGTGGTCAACTTTTTTTTTTTTTTTTTTTTTGAGACGGAGTTTCGCTCTTGTTACCCAGGCTGGAGTGCAATGGCGCGATCTCGGCTCACCGCAACCTCCGTCTCCTGGGCTCAGGCAATTCTCCTGCCTCAGCCTCCTAAGTAGCTGGGATTACAGGCACGCGCCACCACGCCCAGCTAGTTTTTTGTATTTTTGGTAGAGACGGGGTTTCACTATGTTGACCAGGATGGTCTCGATCTCTCGACCTCGTGATCCACCCGCCTCGGCCTCCTTACAGGCTTGAGCCACCGCGCCCGGCTAGTGGTCAACTTTTAAGGACCCCCCTTTATTAGTTTGGAGGTCATGGTTTAATTAAAGTAGATATATGCATATTCCTAATATCTGTATATCAGAGAAAATGGTTATCTGAACATTAATTCGTAAAAGTAAGGAACTTCATGGAAAAGAGAGAGAGAAAAGCCCAACAAGATCTCAGTAAGGAAAAATACTACCTACTATGCTAGTGTTAGACTGTGCAATGATGACTGTTAAAGAAAGAGGGAAACGTCTGCCTATACTTGACAGTATCTTCTAAGTTGATGCCAAAATGGCTAAAAATATATCACTAAAATAATTTCTTCAACAAACATCAAAAGGCAAAGGTAGCGCTCACAGGGTATTAGTTCTAGCTCCAAGTCTTTCACAATGCATAGAGCTCTACTTTCAAAGGGCCTCCCTAAGGTACTTACATGACAGTGGCACTACAGCTGGGTTTACTAAGAGAACAGCCTTTACTTATCCTTTAAAGTATTCCTGAAGAAGAAAACACCAACCAAGCAATTCAAGTCTGTAGGGGAGGGGAATCCGCGAATATGAATGGGTAATTTATTAAGCTTGTGATACTCCGGAATACACAGTCTTATCTGTCTCCTCATTATCTTCTTACTCTCCAAAGATTCCAATAAAGCAAAGTCTCAAATGTTTACGCCTCCTTGGAAAGGGCCTCAGTACCCCATTGCCATTGCCCTCACCAATCTCATCATTCTGTTTTTTACTTTTTCCTTAATATAATATAAATACACCACGCCCATAACACCACACGCACCACGCCCACACTCCATACATCTCTCCTCATGAAACGACCCAAGACACCCCATACTTAATGGTCCCACAGTTAAAACCAAAATTCTACGCGTTCCTCCACATAATACAGAAAACATCACACACATAGTAACCCAAAAGTCATTAATACCTCCAACCCCATTCAACCTGTACTTAACACATTCTACACACACTCAAGATAGTATATAAACTATACTCTCCTCCACAACACACACACAGACACACACACAGTCACACACACACACACACACACACGTACCGTATAAAAGCCTAAACCACACACCACTGCAGTGCTCAAACGCTGGGAAGAAGCCACCCTTGTGGCACCGGAAACCCACGAGGTTGGAAGTGGAAGGGGAACAGGGCCAGATACTTCACCTGAAAATCCGCCAGGATCATCTCCCGGTCCATGTTGGACGCCATGGCCGCCGCCGAGCTCCGCGGCTCCGGGAGCAAAGCGCGCACCTGGTAGGGAGATCGCGCTTCCTGCGACCGTCGTCGCCGCCGCCGCCGCCGCCGGGCGCCGGGGGGCTGGCGGGCGAGCCGGCGGACGGACCGGCTGGCCGGCGGGCGGGGCAGCGCAGGAGGCGCTAGGCGTTCATGCACTCGGTAACCTTCAGGCGCCCCGGCCGCCTGCCTGCGACCTGCGGAGCCCGCGTCGCAGACGCCCGGACAGGGAGATTGGTCTGGATATGGGTCTGGTCTTACAGTAGCCGGCCACGATGAGGATAGGTTGCAGCAGCGCGCACCCGGCTCCCTTCAGCGGCGTTAAGCCGGCGGGGGCGGGGAAACCGAGAGAGTGAGCGGGCGGGTGAACGCCACGGCCGCCTCCGCCTCCTCCGCTTCCTCCCTGGCCGCCGCCTCCGCCCCTGGTTGGCCAGCGCCACGGCTGTCGCACATTTTGCCTGTCATCGAGGTCGCAAAGCGTCGCTTTGCGGCTTCCACGTGACCGCCCTCCTGTCAAGAGCTGGGCGCACGACTACCCGGCCAGAATCTCTTCCCTGACAGCAGAGACGGCAAACTGCAGCTGCGGAAGCTTCAAGTCTCGCAACAGGTTATTCCAGTTTGGATTTAAGCAAAGGGGTAGCGCTTCCCTCTAGCTGACGCAGAGACCAGATTGTGCACCTCGCGTGGTTAGTCACACAAATACACATCCAGCCTCAAAAACCAACTGAACTCACTCTTACAACTCTTCTAACAAGCAGCATTTCAGAAATACACGTTTTCCCTACAACGTTTCACCAAAGTACAACTTCATATAGTTTCTCACGCTCAACCTCTCAAAACTGCTTCCACGCTGTCACACCCAGTCCCAAGCTCCCTGATGTCTGCATCCTCAGACTAAGTAACACAGAAGTAACAAGACTCATACGGTAGACAAGAGAGACGAGGAAGCGTAGAAAGGTGAAAATGTCGTCCCAGAGAAGAGGAGGAGCATTTTTTTAAATTGATAAGGTAGTTATGAGAAATAAAAATCAATTAGTAGGGTTAGTTCCAAAGGGGGAAAAAAGGGAAAACCTTTCTACTGCTGCAGTTATTTTTTTTTAAGCTGAGACATCTTACAAATGGTGTAAAACTTGAATCCAGTTTTGAATATAGTGTCCGTCTATTTTCTTTTTTCTTTTTTTTTTTTTTTTTTCTTTTTTTGAGACGGAGTCTCCCACTGTCGCCCGGGCTGGAGTGCAGTGGTGCGATCTCTGCTCACTGCAACACCACATCCCGCTAAGTTTTTTGCATTTTTAGTAGGGACAGGGTTTCACTATGTTGGCCAGGCTGGTCTCCAACTCCTAACCTTGTGATCTGCGCGCCTCGGCCTCCTAAAGTGCTGGGATTACAGGCCTCAGCCTACCGCGCTTGGCCTATTTATTTTCACAAGAAACTATTTTGGAATATTCACCAATTATTGAAAGTTTCAACTCATGGTCAGAAATTGACAGCCTCTGTACCTAAAATAGCCAAAAACTATATACAATGAAGTGTGACAGTTTGTAATTGTCATCCAGGTTAGAGAAAGTGTGACAGTGGAAGTTGTTCATTCTTGCCTTGGGAAAATATCAGCTTCTCAACTGTCACGGGACATTTACTTGCTTTAGAAAGTGTGTAAAAGTTTAAAAATGTAAGACTGCTGATTTTATGCTGTAGAGCTAAAATAAAAACTAATGAAATCATCATATAGCATGAAGGCCTAGGTGTCCCTTTTTTAAGAACTTTTTAAATTTTTATTATTTATTTACTTTTTTAGAGACAAGGCCTCACTTTGTTACCCAAGCTAGCTTCCAACTCCTGTGCTCAAGCCATCCTCCCACCTCAGCTTACTGAGAGCTGGGATTACAGACCTGAGCCATACCACCACACCTAGCAAGGTCTAGGCTTCATAAACTGGGAATATATTCATGAGAAATCAGAAATATGACTTAATTGTTCAGTTTCATTGAATATAAAGAAGTGTACTATATTAAGATCTGAGTTTATTCTGCATGTTTTCTTAAATGAAAATAGGCTGGCCTACAACTCAAGTAATGATCTTTGTTTAGACCAGAATTAGCTAGATAATAGAACCCTACACAGTCACATGAATCAAAATGTCTTGCTTCGTTTTCATCCCTAAGAAAGTAATTCCAGCTGGGCACAGTGGCTCATGCCTATATTCCCAGCACTTTGGGAGGCTGAGGCGGGTGAATCACCTGAGGGCAGGAGTTCAAGACCAGCCTGGTCAATGTGGTGAAATCTCATCTCTACCAAAAATACAAAAATTAGCCGGTTGTGGTGGTAGGTGCCTGTAGTCCCATCTACTCAGGAATCTGAGTCAGGAGAATCACATGAACCTGGGAGGCAACGGTTGCAGCAAGCCAAGATCATACCATTGCACTCCAGCCTGGGTGACAGAGCCAGACTCTGTCTCAAAAAAAAAAAAAAAAAAAAAAAAAAAAAAAAAAATTAGCCAGGCATGGTGACACAAGCCCGTAATCCTAGCTACTCAAGAGGCTGAGGCAGGAGAATCACTTGAACCCAGGAGGCAGAGGTTGCAGTGAGCCAAGATCATGCCTTTGCACTCCAGCTTGGGCAACAAGAGTGACATTTTGTCTCAAAAAAAAAAAAAAAAGAAGAAGAAAGAAAGAAAAAGAAAAGAAAAAAAGAATTTCCTATCCCAACACTTTGGGAGGTGGAGGTAGGCGGATCACACAGGAGTTCGAGACCAGCCTGGCCAACATGGTGAAATCCCACTCTGCTAAAAATAATACAAAAATTAGCCGGGCATAGTGGCCTATGCCTGTAGTCCCAGCTACTTGGGAGGCTGAGGCAGGAGAATCACCTGAACCCAGGAGGCAGAGGTTGCAGTGAACCAAGGTCATACCACTGGGTCATGCCTGGGTGACAGAGTAAAACTCTGTTTCCAGATAAATAAATAAATATTTTTCTAAAAAGAAAGTAATTACAAAAGTCAGCACAAATGTGAATTATGAGGAAAACACAGCACCAATAATATAAATGGGGCAATTCAGTTGCCCCATTCATATAGGCCACCCGCAGTATAAAGCAGGTGAATAATTTTTTTTAGTTATATGGCCAAGGTTCAGGCAGTCCTAAAAAGTTGAGGGTTTTTCTCTGTGATGATGCGTGTGTATCTCGGAACCCAATCAAATCCCACATTGCTGCCTTTTTCCTTTCTTTCTCTCCATCTCGAAATTAAAACAATATGGTTTGTAGAAAGACGGGAAGAACACACTAGACATTCAGGCATATATTAGTATTGCTTTTCCAAATAATTAGCTGAGGGAACTTGGATGAGTCAATCTCTCTGACTTCGGCTTCTGACAGGACTATTTCCTCTGATAAATGAGAAACCAATTATGAAAATACATGGAAAATATAAAATATTGTTATCAACCTAACATAAATTTTATAGTCAGTATTCAGTGTTGGTTTGAGTTCCAACACTGCTCCTTGACAAAGGCTCTCTGGTTCTCTTTATCTCTAAAGTGGGGCAAATAATACTTGTGATTTTGAATGCTGAGTGATAAAATGCTTGTGAAAACTCCTCATAAACCTTAAAATTCTCCAAACATATTAGTTATTACTCTGTATACCAATTCTTAAATGCTTTCCTCAAGACCATCCCTTTCAGAAAATTTAAGCCAGCAAGGATCTTTCTCCTTTCTAACCACTGCTTTTACTATCTTTATAACACAACTTAGTACTCTAGTAAATCCTGTAATTTTTTTTCTCTAATTCTTTTGATATATGTATGTTTAATCTCTCCCCAAAAGTCAAAAGTTTCTTGAGATTATAAACTATTTTATGCCACGTGTTTTTATATTCACCATAGTTCATACATAGCAAAGTCTTGTGAAATAACAGATAGTAAATGCTTTTGAATTTTTTTTTTTAATTTTTTTATTTTTTGAGACAGAGTTTCGCTCTTGTTACCCAGGCTGGAGTGCAATGGCGCGATCTCGGCTCACCGCAACCTCCGCCTCCTGGGTTCATGCAATTCTCCTGCCTCAGCCTCCTGAGTAGCTGGGATTACAGGCACGTGCCGCCATGCCCAGCTAATTTTTTGTATTTTTAATAGAGATGAGGTTTCACCATGTTGACCAGGATGGTCTCGATCTCTTGACCTCGTGATCCACCCACCTCGGCCTCCCAAAGTGCTGGGATTACAGGCATGAGCCACTGTGCCCGGCCTGCTTTTGAATTTATTAATTTTTATTGGGAATCTACAAACTTTATCTCATTTAATGTTTACAACTACTACTTTACAGAATAAAAAGCTGCTCTGGCAAGTTAAGAAATTGCTCAAAGTCATGCTACAAAGTGACAGACCTAGGATTCAATGCTAGGTCAAATTAGTGCTTTTCCTACTTACCCTATTGCCTCTCTACAATTTGTCTTCCATGCTGCTTAGTTTATATCGTTGCCAAAGACACTGTTTCTTCCCTAGGCCTAACTCTTCATGGTTGGATACCTAGCATCCAGAGTAATTATCTACCATAGAGAAAAGAAGAGAAGAAAAATAAATACTGAATTAGGAGGAAAAGTCATTTTTCATTTCTCCAGAGTTCCATCCCTAAGAGAAACAATTTTATTTAAGTGTCATAAACCAAAAGAAGGAAATGTAAAGAAATTCGGTCCACGCAGAAGCAAAGAAAAGTCATTTTAATTTATCTGTTCTCATAGTTGGCCCACAGTAGGAGTTCATGGAACTCAGCGTAAGTTAAATATAGATCTTTTTCTAGAATCTCCATGTTCTGTTAAAAGAAACTTTTATATCATCTTTATTTCAAATATAAATAATAAATATTATTTCTCACGCCTGTAATCCCAGCACTTTGGGAGGCTGAGGCGGGCAGATCACCTGAGAGGTCAGGAGTTCAAGACCAGCCTGACCCACACAGAAAAACCCCATCTCTACTAAAAATACAAAATTAGCTGGGCATGGTGGTGCATGCATGTAATCCCAGCTACTTGGGGAGACTGAGGCAGGAGAATCCCTTGAACCCGGGAGGCAGAGGTTGCAGTGAGCTGAGGTTATGCCTTTGCACTCCAGCCTGAGCAACCAGAGTGAAACTCTGTCTCAAAGAAAAATAAAAACAAAAATAAATAAATAAATATTATTTACATTTTACTGTTTTATTTGGAATTATTTTAGAATAGTTCCAAAGATAGTACAGAATGTTCCTATATGCTTTTAGGCCATCCTTCTCTAATGTTACTATCTTATTTAATCATGGTACATCTATCAAAACTAGGAAATTAACACTGCTAGAAACTATTCAATTCTAGAGGCTCTATTTGGATTTTTACACTAATGTCCTTTTCTTGTCCCATGGTCCAGTAATACCACATTACTTTTAGTTGTCATGTCTCAGTAGCCTCTTCTAATCTGTGACAGTTTCTCAGTGGACACTTCCGAAGAGTCAGGAACTTTATAAAATCTCCCTCAATCTGGGATTGCCTAATGTATTCTCAGAATTACACTGAGTTTATAAATTTAAGGGAAGAGGTGATATGTCCCTGTTACATCATATCAGGGCCATGTGTTATCAACTTGACTGATTACTGGTAGTGGTAACCTTGATTCTTTGGCTAAGATAACCAATTTATTAAATAATACTTCTTGCTTATAATGTAATTCATGAGAAGACTAATGCTACTACACATATGTATTTCATCTAGTGATTTAATGTTGTTTAAGAGACTAGTGGCTGACCCTAGACTGTCAACTAATAAAATAATTTTGATCTGTAAATGCAACTAAAAAGTATAAGGTTTGGAGCCCCAAGAACTGAGTTCAAATTCTATGTCCACTATTTACTGACTTTAAATCACAATTTCTGTCAGCCTCTATTCCCTCATATGAAAAATGGGGATTATCATAGTCACCTCACAGAATTACTGTAAAGATTAATATATGCATAAAGATTAATATATGCTCACGCCTGTAATCCCAGTACTTTGGGAGTCCAAGGCAGGTGGATCACCAGGTCAGGAGTTCGAGATCAGTCTGACCAACATGGTGAAACCCCATCTGTACTAAAAATACAAAACTTAGCTGGGTGTGGTGATACACGCCTATAATCCCAGCTACTCAGGAGGCTGAGGTAGGAGGATCGTTTGGGCCTGGGAAGTCAAGGCTTCAGTGAGCCATGATCATGATCAAGCCACTGCACTCTAGCTTGGGCTACAGAGTGAGAACCTGTCTCAAAATGAAATAAAAATAATAATAAATCTTCATAAATAAGTACCCATGTGAAAAAAGCCACTGAATCTCAGAAATAAAATGTTGAATTCACAATTATAAAGTGATTTTTTAAAAAAAGGCTGCCTGGGGGTGCCCACTATGTTTTTCACCTCTGTTGATCTATAACTACAACAAAAGACTTTGAGACCAGTTAAAGAAATGATAAATACCACATATACATTTCCAAAAGTTAATCATTCAGAAACTGTGCTTACCTGAGTCAATGAGGGAAAAGCCCAGAATTTTGACTAAATCATATTTCTATGTCTCTTTAAATGATTATGAACTCCTGGAGAAAATGGTTTTCATGACTGTATTTAATATCTAACTATAAAGGCTGTATTTCAGTATTTGATGTACTTATCATTGCAGTGTTAAAAGAGAAACCACCATTCTCCACATAGTAGAGAGCTTAATTGTGAATGTTTCTTGTAAGCCATGTTAGAATATAAGCTTATTGAGGGTAGAGATACCCTTGAATCCACTTTAGTGAACTAGGCCTCAATAAATACTAGATTTGCATTGGAGTTACTGGGTAATACTTACGTATGCCTTCTGAACTAAAACCCTATGCTCTGCACTGCCAATTCTAGTTTACTCAATAGGCAGATGAAGCATATACTTCAGAGAACCAGCAAAACCGAATGTAAAAAAAAGAAAAGAAAAAAGAAAACCCAAATAACATTTCAGTAAAACCACTGAAGAAGCCATCATGGGGGAAAAACAGAACTTTGTTGGACTTTTTTACTCTTATTTTGGGGTTCTGTTATTTTTCTTTTTATTTCCTTATGAGGAAGACATGGTAGAACAGCAAAATCTTTTCAGTGCTTAGGGTCTTCAAAAATCTTAATACAACTCTGTGTACACCTTAAATTATCATAAGTTTGATTTGCTGAGTTGTTCAGCAAAAAGTATTTTATTTCATGAAAATGATAGCATGTTTTCCTGTACTTTATATAATCATACAATTTAAGATTCTTCCTCTTTACAGTTTATCTCTAAGTAAGAAACCATAATAAATGCTAGAAGGCAACCCTCATAAATTGGACTAACACCAGTTCTCTCTTATCAGCCAACAGTACTACTATGTCATCACACCCTCTGGCTGTATGAAAAGATTACACAGTTCCCAGAATAATCAAAAGTAAATTATTATTTATTTCTTACTGGTATAAATGGAATCTTAAATGTTTCTACTTGAAACGTCTAAATATATGTAAGAGTTAATTTCTTATTCCATAGTTCTCATTTGATTCACAATTCTAGTTACTTAAGAAAATAACTAGTTTTTTTTCTCAACAATTACGTTAAAGAAAACACTGCCAGATTTTTCCCAGCTTCAACTCTCGCTCTACCTATCAGCCAGTCTGCTGCTACATAATTATCCAGATGTTTCTGGTGTGTCTTGTTGCTAATACTCCCAGTGTACTTAGGAAGAAGGGTACAGATACTGCTTGAGGATCCGCCTGCCAAAGGCCGGTTCTAATTAGACTTGTCATTTTTTGCTTGGTTTCATTTTGACCACTGGGTGCATCATGCAACCGTGTTGGATATTTTTAAGAGTATAAAAATATAGAAAGCAATAGTTAACCTATCTCACACAGCTAAAAGAGGAAGTTAAAAGTAATGGAAATTAGTGTCGGATGATTAAGGAAAGGATTAGGAGAGACACCATTCCTTTACATGTAGACACTCTCCCCAACCCAGACCCCCGAAAAACCAAGCCACTTCTAAGTAGTGAGAGAACTCAGGCAACAAAGAAATAGCTTTGTTAGAAAACACTTCACACGACTTATTTTAAATTTTGCTTTAAATTTGATTGCTTTCTCCTTTTTCTCCAATAATTGGGCTATTTCAGTTCCTAGTCCTTGATTAAGGCTTCAGAGTTCGTTATTATTTCTTACCTACTTAAGTTTTCATAAAATTCAGTCTATACAAGACTTGCTTTCTGTGACAACTGTGCTTAGTGGCAGCCCGGGTTTTTCCCTCCACCCCCGGGGCCACCTCTGCCCACCGCAGCCGTCTGCGTGGATCTGGCAGGTGCGAGGCCGGCCGAGGCCCAGGGCTCAGCCAAAGCAGCAGAGTTTACAGAGCGCGCGCCCTAGAGGAGGCAGCGGCAGCCGCAGGCCTGGCCGCCCGAACTTTGCTAGCCTGGCGGGGGAGCTCTGAGGCAGGCCGACCTGCCCCGCTGGAGCTGGAGAACGACTCCCTTTATGCCAGCTCGCTCTCCGCCTTCCCGCAACCAGCGCTGCGAGCCTCAAAGGCCCTGCGGCCCTCCAAGACCGTCTTAAGTAACAACCCCCCGCCCTCGCCCCAAAGGAATCGAGGCAGCTGGGGGTTCGCGTCGCAGACCCAACCCGCCAGCAGGAGGAGAAGGGCAGGCCGGGCTTCGCGGAACCGAATCTCGCTCCAGCTGGGGCCAGGCCGCCTAGCCCGCGGGCGGGAGCCGGCGCGAGAGACTAGACGGGAGGAGGCGGGGAACGGGAGGCGGGAGTGCGGGCGCGGGGCCTGGCGGGCGGAGCTTGCGAGGCGGCGAGCGCGAGCGCGAGCGCCAGCGGGGCGGAGGGCGGGGCGTGGGCGGTGCCCGGCCTTCCCGCTCCCGCGGCGCTGTAACTCCGCCGAGCCTCCTTAAAACTCTGCCGTTAAAATGGGGGCGGGTTTTTCAACTCAAAAAGCGCTCAATTTTTTTCTTTTCAAAAAAAGCTGATGAGGTCGGAAAAAAGGGAGAAGAAACCGGCATCATCTCTGAGAGGCAACAGAAGCAGCAATTGTTTCAGCGAAAAAAGCAGCAAGGGAGGGAGGGAAGGAAAAAAAGCAAAAAAAGTGGCGACGCGCAAGTGCCTATAGGGGTGAAGGGAGCAGGGACCCGCGATCTAGGAGGGGATCAGCTACAAAAGAAACTGTCACTGGGAGCGGTGCGGCCAGGGAGGAAGCAGTGCTGCCAGGCTCGTCTCCAGGGTACAGCTGGCTGGCGGCTGCCCTGTCCGCAGCAAAGGGGCACAGGCCAGGGACCGCGAGAGGTTGGCGAAGTGGCACCGGGCGCTGAAGCTGCTGAGCTCTCACCGAGACGGCGACGGGACTGGCTGCGTTCTGGAACTGTGGCGACTACCCCTACTCGGAACTTGGCCTACGCTTTCCCGGACTCTCCCCATCTCCGGAGACCTCACAAAACCGGGAAAGGACGGCGACGGCGGCAGTTCAATGAATGCCTACAGCGGAAAGCCTGAACGAGCTCGGTCGTAGGCGGGAAGTTCCCGGGGGGCTGCCCAGTGCAGCCGCAATGCTGCCGCGAGCTGCCCCAGCAGCCAGGGCTCCTTAGACGCTTCCCGCATCGCTCTCCTCCTCCCTTAGGCTGCCGGGAGTCCCGGGACCTGGCGGGGCCGGCATGACGGGCTTCTCGGGGACCCGCCGCAAGCCCGGCAGCCTCCGGAGACGCGCGCCGAGCCCGGCTCCCACGGCCTCTGAGGCTCGGCGGGGCTGCGGCTGCCTGGCGGGCGAGCTCCAGAGCTTTCCTGAGCGGCATTAGCTCACTGCTTGGCCCGGAGGCGACTAAAGGCTTTTCTGGAGAAGCCCAGAGCACTGGGCAGTCGTTACGACCTGTAACTTGAGGGCCACGGAACTGCTACTCCCGTTCGCCTTTGGCGATCATCTTTTAACCCCCCGGAGCACGTCAGCATCCAGCCACCGCGGCGCTCTCCCAGCAGCGGAGGACCCAGGACTACCCCTTCGGCGAGACGGATGGAAACCGAGCCCCCTGGAGGACCTGCCCCTGCAGTTCTGCCGCACACGGCTCAAGTCACCACCGTGAACAAGGGTGGGTGAATGTCTTTTCTTCCCCCCGAATATCTTTCCTTCCGCGGTCTTTTCTGCCCCATCTAGTCCCTTAAGTCTCGACATACACTCCTCACAGAGATCTGTAGCGTAGGTACGTGACAGCTCTGCCTACATCTGACGTCTGGAGTCATTAACCAGGAATGTATGTGTGTCTGTATGTCTCTCCGTGGAGTCGTCAGAATTCTTCATAGGGGTTAAGCTAAAAAGCGAGGCGAGGAGCCCCTCTCCAATGGCTCAGTTTTGCTGAATAATCACGTGTGAATCGAGGGGCGGGCTTTTGGCAGGCAGATCTTACTAGTATTTACTACCAAGCTCTACTCCAGATTAACCATCCCAGTCCTTCTGACAGTCTCCGATGCCATCATGCAGCCTGGTTAGGAGCAAAGGAAAGGGGAAAAAGAAAAACGACTAATTCATCTTTTCCTGATCGTCAGGACCCTAAAGAATGGCCGAGCCTTGGGGGAACGAGTTGGCGTCCGCAGCTGCCAGGGGGGACCTAGAGCAACTTACTAGTTTGTTGCAAAATAATGTAAACGTCAATGCACAAAATGGATTTGGAAGGACTGCGCTGCAGGTTGGTATTCAGAGAGGTGGGGAAAACAGGTCAATAATGTTGCCTACGTGACCTGGGTTTCTAGAATTACAGCTTTTATGCTTTCAGGGGTACAAAATGTCACTGTTTTTAAACCTAGCTGGTTGCCATATTTTATATCTTTAAGTGGATCCAACTTCTCAAAATGACGTACTTTTAACAAACTCCTCAAATCCAGTAACATCCTTGATATCAAGTAGGGTCGAGGTTTGGTCATAGTTTTTGGAATGTTTTTGTGACGGTGGGGATTTTAAAGTAGTCATAGTAGGGCCGAGGTTTGTTTGCTTTGTTTTGTTTTTAAAGACAGCTTTGTAAACACATTATTATGATTATTATTTGTAGTAAATACAATGCTATTAGTGGTTTCACGTACTTTGCCCTCAATAATTGACTTTATCGTTAATTTTCTTGACTATTGGTGAGGGTCTTTTTCCTTCAAATGCTCCAAGTTTTGACAAACGACCTTTCCTTGTTTGGAAGGGGTGGCTTGGGCACTGGGACAGGATGTACATTTCACAGTTAATGTAATACCATCCACTAATTCAGGAGTCGGGAGGAATAAAAAGTTGAATTTTCTAATCAGAGCTCAGCTGCAGTGTCTTTGTCTCTACGGTCAAGCCGTGGTGTGCTCTAATTTTCAGTAATTAGATTTACAGGCAACAACTGACACATGTCCAGCTGCCAAGTATTGTACCTGATAATTTTTTTCTTCTTCTGAATATTATCATGTAACTTAGAAGAAAGGCTTAGAAACAGAAAAATGACAAAATAGTCTAAAGTAGTTGCTTTATCAGAGTTCTGAAGATATTCTTATGAGCTATTCTTATTTAGAAATACAACACTTGAAGCTGTTTTTGAAACCCAGTGGGGAGAGGGTTTTTAGAGGGCTTTGTTTCAGTTATAAGAATTAAAAATTTAAGTGGCAGGAGATATACTATTAACAAACAAAGTCCATACAGTCTGTACATTTTCCATCAGAATACACTGGCCTTGCAAAAATTTCAGAATTAAGGAAGTTTATGCACAGATACTAAATTATTTATCTTGTTATTTCTGCTACATTAAGAAATGACGTTTTTACCTAGTAGTTTTAAACAGGTTTAGTGATGATAGCAAGGTAACAAATTTAATATACGGAAAAGTTTCCTTTTGAAAACTCAAAAGATTATATAAATTTCACAAAGAATAAGCTACCTAACCCATGTTCACAATAAGATTTTACAGGATTTTTGACGAACAGGAAGACTGGGAGAGTAATACTATTCTTTAAAAAAGTTTTGACAAATATTTTAAATACAACTTTGCAATCTTGTTTATATTAAACATACTTATCAAGGTACAACTCACTTATTGTGGCTTAGTCCTAGTATATATAATGAAATACACACACACACAGACACAGAAACAGGAGTTTCAAGGCTCATTTTCAATATGTATAATCCTGACTCTGAAGTTGTGTCATAAGTCAAGAAAGAACTTTCTTCAAAATCATTTCCAATATTACCATTATTTTCTGTGAAAAAAGATGAATTTTCTTCTACAATTACATTTGTTTAATTCAATTTCAAAAGCCTTTTTTACATTCCTAGAGTACATTTTTCTATTAGGTTAATATCAAAGGCCTTAATCGTACCTTTGCTTTACAAAGATCCAAGGATCTGTCTCTTATTTTTCTCATTCCAGGTCCTTAAATATGCCTAAATCTTTAGGAACAGTTGTGGTGATACCAATTTTTAATAATAAAAGAGTATGTTTCATTGAAGTTCTTGAAAAATAAATTGTGTATCACTTTTTAGCACTGCTCCAAAGGAAGAACTAAAAGTCAACAGAGTTTTATCAACAGGGGAGCTTAATATCTTGTCCATCTATATAGTTTGCATTTATAAGATATTATTAATTCTAAATATATTTTATTATTTAATGTGTGAATAGATTGTTTCTTAAACAAACATTTTAAAAAGATAGATCGACTTTGTATTTTCCATTAGCATTTAATTTCATAAACACTGAGCATCTATTATGTAAGCTATTTATTATAAATTTAGATTATGAATATACCTAAATATAAATGAAACCAGTAAATGCTGAAAATGTGTGACACGTCAATGAAAGTCACATTTTTTCACAGCTAAATTATATGTATTTTATACTTGCATGCTGTTCTACAAGATATTTTATAAGAGAGCACTAATAGAGTGAAACATATTCAAACAACAGTGGATAATCTTTGTTATGTGAATTATTTGCATGTTGATAGCAAGTGTTAATACCACATTCTGACTTTTAATATGTTGGCAGTTTACAAATAGCTATTCCTTAAATGCTTGATAATAACTGAAAAAGGAACTAACACAGGATCACCAGTTGATTATTCAATGAGCTTAAACCACAAGACAAGGCTGTCCGTGTCCCAAAACACCCATTAAATATCTTACTTTTTCTTCTTTTGCTCACTTGAAAATCAGGAGGCTTGTCAGAACTTTGAGAAACAGTTTGAATGTAGTAGAGTGACTATTTCATTATTTTCAAGAACAGTTGTCATATAATAATTTCCTATTGTGATACAAGGCATATTAGGAACTTAGTTTTATATAAATTGATATCATGCAATTTAGAACACTGTGGTTTATTTAACATCTTAATAATGACTAATGTTTTGTAACTTCAAAATGAAGGATTCTAAGCATTGAATACACCTAGTAGCCAATATTAAATAACTTGCAAAGAAAGAATATTTTTTAAGAAATGCTTGGAAATTTGGAGCTATATCTATTTGGAGGGAACTTGCAAAATTTGATCATTTAAGAAAATATCAGGCCTGGATTTTTAAGACATCATTTTTACTCTAGCTGATGGAGTTCGTTTAGAGAAACTCAACATTCTTATTTGTTTGCAGTAGCTACTTAGAAAATAAAGTTTAATCACATTTGATTTTCTAGAATTAATATCACAGGCACATTTTATGAGTATGAACAAACAAACAGAGGAGATTCTTATTTAAATCCAAAATTCCATTTCTTTTATTTTAATAAATGCATGAAATTACATAACTCTTCATAGAACATAGAGAACTGAATTGTCGGTAAATGCTATACATATTGCACAAATTCTCTTATTGATCAATTTATTCTTCTTTTGGGCCCATTTAAGATGTTCCATCATAGAAGCTCAATTTTTAGAAGTTGTCTTCTACTTTGACCTACTAGCACTTTTCTGCATTTGACTGCTTCAAGCCTCATTCTATGGGTCTTCCCCAAGTACTCCATAAAAAATAGTTACATAAATGGAAGGACAGGTGGATATTTAAAAATATTTTTGTAGCATGAGCACTTGATGGATTCTACCATTTGTACTTCTTTTCCAGGTTATGAAACTTGGAAATCCCGAGATTGCCAGGAGACTACTACTGAGAGGTGCTAATCCTGATTTGAAAGACCGAACTGGCTTCGCTGTCATTCATGATGCGGCCAGAGCAGGTTTCCTGGACACTTTACAGACTTTACTGGAGTTTCAAGCTGATGTTAACATCGAGGATAATGAAGGGAACCTGCCCTTGCACTTGGCTGCCAAAGAAGGCCACCTCCCGGTGGTGGAGTTCCTGGTGAAGCACACGGCCAGCAATGTGGGGCATCGGAACCATAAGGGGGACACCGCCTGCGATTTGGCCAGGCTCTATGGGAGAAATGAGGTTGTTAGCCTGATGCAGGCAAATGGGGCTGGGGGAGCCATAAATCTTCAATAAATGTGGGGAGGGCTCCCCCACATTGCCTCTACTTTATCAATTAATTGGGTGGCTATCCTGACTTTTAATGTCATTTGTTAAAATACAGTTCTGTCATATTTTAAGCAGCCAAATATCCTGAAACTGCATAAGTGAAAATCTTACAACAGGTTTATGAATATATTTAAGCAACATCTTTTTCACCTGCGAAATCTGTTCTAACATGTAATTGCAAATAGCTTTGACTGTCTTCTGAATATTTTATCTTTCCTTGGCTTTTTCCTTGCTTCCCCTTTTGCCAATCTGAACACCCAACTTGAAGATTATGTTTTTAAAATGGTTTGTCCTGATGCTTCTTTTGCCTAATTAAAACTCTTTCAAAACAGGACAACATTTTTCTGTGATTTTCCCTCCTCTATAACCCATACACAATTTGCCACTTGCTAAGGAGAACAGTACTAAAAGTTATTGATGTCTTAAGTCTTTACACTAGAAAAAGTAGACCAACGGGAAAACTAGACATAGTCTCTTGATGATTCAGTTGTTTTCATCCTTTATCCATGTCCCATCCATTTTGTTGCCTAGTATTTCTGCTTTAAAACAAAGTAAGGACACCTTTTTTTTTTTTTTTTGGTTGAAAATCAAGCCTGAAATTTCAGTGTGAATTTCCTCGATGTTCAATCTTCCCTTTTTCTTGACGTCAAGTCAAATAGTTGAAGGACAGAGTTCAAAAGTAGTGATATAAAAACATATTTTAGCTCTAAAACCCAGTTTTAAAAGAAAATACCATCTTAAAAGTGCTTACCACTAATTTATTTTTAATCACAAAATGAAGCAAATGGTTAAATAATATATTTTCCAAAATTATATCATAAATATACTAAGTGTAATGCAGACTTTTTCTCCCTGAGTGTAAGAAATGTAAAACTACAAAATGTTTAAGTATTAAAGTGCAAATACCAATTTTTAGGGAATGAAAAACAGCAATACGAATGTATAAATTATATATAAAGGTCATAACTATTTTAAGATCTGCAGAAAAATAAATGTAGAAACTTTTAAAATAATAAATGAGCCACTCCCACAAATAGTACTTAATTTCCAGAGAACTTTTTAGTAAAAGAGTATACAATCTTTTTAGGAGCACATTTACGTGAAAAAAAAATTTTAATATTTTTTGAAGGAAGTAGAAATATTAAATTTCCAAGATGATTTTACAGCATCTATTACTCTGTCATTTTAATTTATAGTTTTCAACAACGGATTTCAATGAAATTATCATTTACAAATTCATATTTTATTCATCTCCTACACAATCAAAGATGCTTTAATTGAAAGTTCCCTCCATAAGCTCTCTGCCCTCACTTCAAAAAGAACAAAATATCTCAAGGTTTATTGAAGGACATGGTTCTGATGCCTGACCTAACAAGGATTGGAATGGCTGGGTTGCAGGCAAGTGGTTTTCAATAATTTACTTTCCGTGATAGTATAAAAGAATATAGGAGGAAAAGGTTAATCCTTTTAATTTTGCTGTAAAATTTACATTCCTTTAGTGCAAAAAGACTTCATCCTCTGACACCTTTAACCACAAATTACTAAATAAATTTATTTTTGATGCCAACAAAATTAAAACATTTAAGAAAAAAGTAGGGATTGAGATGGTTTTGAAGTAATAGTGTACTTTGGATTTTAAAATAGAGTCAATATACAAAATATACTACTTCAATACGCCTAATATTTTTGAACAAAACACTCTAACTGAAAGTAATTTTTTAAAAAGAACTCTTATAAGTTATAACTGTAAATATGGGCGTTAAGATTTTAAAATCCAGTTTAATGGATTTCACGGCATCCAACATATCTCGGCATTTACTTTATTTAATTAAGTAAAAATTCCCTTTAGAGGTTTCAAATATAAATGCGTAGGACGTTCATAAAGCAAAAGAGCAGTACTTCTGCAGTTGCTTTGTTCTCGGATGGTCGGAGCACAATAGAGGAAAGGACGCTATCTTTTCATCAGCCTAAAATTTGTTAGGCATTAAAACATCGCCATATTACTCTGGCTCTGTGCAGGAAGTAGCTTTGCTAATCTAAGTATTTTAGAAATGAGTTATGTGGTCCCCTCTAGGAAATATGAAAAGCCATTATTCAATCTCAAAAACCTCAACAATATTCTGTAAGCCTCTTAAACACGCCGAAATGTATAGGATGGATGAAACGGTGCTGCTGGGGCCCTATTTTTAGCGACCTGAGGTGGGGAGAGAGGGGTCTGAACGTATTCAGATGCAGACAGTGGGGATGCAAGTGCTAACTAATGGAGTGCCCAGAGCTCCGGGGGACGACGCTGCTGTAAAGACAGAGGATACAAAGCAGAGGATGCGCTCTCAAATTCAGTTATTCACTGCTGTGTCCGCATCCACAGCAGGAAACTTGGGCTCAGCCTTTGCCCAGTAAGCTGCAGCCAGGTTTACACCTGGGGTGAGGGGTACTAACATGACCCCGGTCCACGTTCTGGTCCCCGAACTGCTAAGCAAAGTGTCTTTTATCATATTTTGGTAGTGAATTAATAGTTTTCTGATAAACATTATGTATCTTGCAATGGTGCCATGAGTTCATTTACACACACACCACAGTGGGTGACTGATAATAAGTAGATTAAGTATTCTGTCCCAGGAAAGCAATATGATATATTTCCCTTATCGTATTGATCAAAGAACGTTGTGTAGTCAGTGGCCCAGGACTGGTTTCGAAATCTCAGTTCTCAAAAAGGTGCTTTCGGCTTTTGCCGGGGGTAGAAGTAAACAGTCCATAGGCGCCGGGCAATCACAGTGCTGGAGCAAGAAACGGTCGTGCTCGCAGCCTTCCTGGCTGCCCTAAGCAACTTTCATCAAAAGGCTACGGGGGAAAGTCCCTGTATCGGTCTCTGGAGATCATTCTGCTTTTATATGGCAGTCCCATGAAAACAGATCCATGCAGGAACCTAGTGAGAGGCAGGAGACAAACTTCCCGCCTGAGACCTCGGGTAAAGCGCTGCCCATAGCCAACCCAAGCGCTCCACAGAGGGGCTGTGAAGACATCTTTTCTGTCCCTCTGAAAATCCTTCTCCAGACTCCCGGCTCCAGCCTCCGGGGCCCTAGTGAGGAAGCTGGAGCCCAGAGCTCCCTTAGGGCGCGCAGAAAAGCCCGGGGAGGGGGTGGGGGAGCTTCAAAACCGTTAGCTCGCGTTTTTTTCCCCTCCCTCGCTAAGGTTTCTTTTCTTTTCTCTTCCTGTCCAAATATTTCAAATTTCCGCGCCTTAAATAACAGTCTCCTTTTATTTAGTTAGTTTTCTCGGCAGGTCTGGCCGCCCGCTTGTCTCTGACCCCCTACGGCCCGGGGCGCCTCGGACGCCTCGGTGCTGCCTGCAGCCCCCGTGCGCTGCCCCCGGCCCAGCTTGCGCCGCACGGAGCGCGCCCGTCGGAGCCACAACCCCCTCCTGCCGCGACCTCGCCTGACCCGGCTGTCGGGGCACTAGGAGCCAACTAAGGCCGCCCCCAGCCCAGACGCCGGCCTGCCTCTCAGCTTGACTTCCCTCCCCGGACTTTGGAGCGTCTTCTGCGCTGGGGTTTGGATCCCGGTAGCCCTGGAGCAGCAGAATGGCTGCAGCGATAGGAAAGCAGCGAAGGAGGCCAGTGGCCGGAGCCTGCCCCAGCCCCCACCCGCGGGTAACCTTGGAGGCGCCCTCGGAGTAAGTGTGTGCGCGGCCGCGCGGCCGGCCGGGGCGAGCAGGAGCAGCGCGCCGCAGGCGGGAGGCGGGAGGCGGGAGGCGGGAGCCGGGGGCGGGGAGGGGGAGCGGACGCCGGCGCCTCCTGGCCGCCGGCGCAGCGCCCCGGGAACTGCGGGTTCCCCGGGCGGCCAGGCGACCCCGGCCCTGGCCCTCAGGCAGCGGTCCCCGAGGAGGCGGCGGCCATCCCACCGGACGGTTCTGGTGACCTGTGCCTGAGGACTGGGGCCGGAGACCGGCCGGGGAGCAAGGGCCAGCGGGCCGGTGAGTGCCTAGCTCTTCGCGGAGGTGAGCTGGCGGCGGGACGCGGCGAGGCTGCTGAGCGAACCGAGCCCGACGCCGTCGCCAGCACTCCCTTCCCCTCCCCCCTGACAGCTGAGGACAGCCGGGCTCTGAGCCTCGCGTCCAGTTGCGAGGAGGCAAATGCCTCTCTGGCTTCTTAGCCCCTCAGACTATTCGGGAAGTTACCCTGCAGTTTTGTCTGCCGCCCCCAGCACCCACTTCCACAAATTACTGGACGTTCAGGACTGAAAATGCACGTTCAATTCCAAAAGACCCTCCTCCTGAAACACCGTGAACTTCAGGGCTCGGGTGCGCAAAATACCAAGAAAGGGGTCTTTTTTCAACCCGGACTAGTTTTGAAAATCGAGTACTGTATGGATCATCAACGATGCCTCAAAACAATTTTTTTTAAAAAAAATCCCCAGATCTGGATATAGACTTGCTAAATTAAGGTTCCAGTGAAATGTTTTGTCATTTGCTCTAGAAACAATGTGCGAGCTTCAGGTGTTAGGATGTGGGTTTGGAATTTTCTGTGCTGTCTTTAATCCTCAAAGACATTAAATAACAGCATGGTAACACACCCGGCAAGCGAGCAAAGGTTATCCTTGCCACCACAGCACCTGCAGAAGCACAGTCGAACTCACATATTTTGCTTCCTGAGTTCTAAAATGGCTTCTGAACCGTCCAGAGGTACCAGCACATACGAGGAGGGGGACCGGAGACCGGGGGAGAAATTGTACATTTTAAAAACTACACGGATGTTATTACACTTCAGTTGTTCCACCTCACCTCTCTCCCCCAGCCCTCATCCTCATCAGACAAGGAAGAATTTTAGTGTAGGCCTGTTCAGTAATTCTAAATACAGCCTTTTTCTCTTCTCTCATGTCTACCCCGCCCCCACCAAATAAAAACAAAAACAAAAAACAACCAGCCAAAAACATCAGCTCTTTGGGGGAGGAAGTAAAAAACCACCAATCCTTATCCAACTACACGTCATTTCTTTTGAGCATTAAGAAGAAATGCTACATACAAGCCATGCTGTGAAAGAAATAATTTACTAGGACTTCAAACGCATTTAATTTGACTTAATTAAAGTGATACTGTTTTTTAACATGAAAATAATGGAACAGTTTCTGAAACTGATGCATGAAAAACTCACAAATCTTCCCGAACATTTTTGGAGACAGAAGCTTCTGCTCTTTGAATTTTCTAAGTAACTAAAAGTAGTTACTTAGAAAAAGCTGATACTTTATCTTGACCATGTAAAGTAGTATCTTGCGAATTTTATTTTCATTATGTGTCTTAGATTTTCAGATTAGTTGTATGAATAGTGAAATCACATAA